TGGTCAGACGGTCAGACCTATTTGAAATTGCGAGATTCATCGATTTGAAAGTGTTAACATCGTAATAATCATCTCGTATGATCGATTTCTCTAGTTGAAATCGGTCGTAGCAATATGGACTGAACATCTTTTTTTTATGTCAAAATAACTCTTTCCAAAGAAGACTTAAACTACTAGTAGTGTTTGTGTAACACATTGGACACAATTGACTTATGTTGGTAGATTTTTTTTCTCCACACGAAATTAGAATTCCAACACGATGAAAAAGTATTCTTATAACCTTTATACAACTTTTTTAATCCTTTAAATTTAATTTAGGTCTTTTTTTCGTACCCGAATGGTCAGACGGTCAGACGGTCATATGGTCATACTATGGTCAGACGGTCAGACCTATTCGAAATTGCGAGATTCATCGGTTTGAAAGTGTTAACATCGTAATAATCATCTCGTATGATCGATTTCTCTAGTTGAAATCGGTCGTAGCAATATGGATTGAGCATCTTTTTTTGATATCAAAGTAACTCTTTCCAAAGAAGACCTAAACTATTAGTAGTGTTTGTGTAACACATTGGACACAATTGACTTATGTTGGTAGATTTGTTTTCTCCACACGAAATTAGAACTCCAAAACGATGAAAAAGTATTCTTATAACCCTTATACAACTTTTCTAATCGTTTGAATTTAATTTAGGTATTTTTTTTCGTACCCGAATGGTCAGACGATCAGACGGTCATATGGTCATACCATGGTCAGACGGTCAGACCTATGGTCTTCTTTGGAAAGAGTTACTTTGACATCAAAAAAAGATGTTCAGTTCATATTGCTACTACCGATTTCAACTAGAGAAATCGATCATACGAGATAATTATTACGATGTTAACACTTTCAAATCGATGAATCTCGCAATTTCAAATAGGTCTGACCGTCTGACCATAGTATGACCATATGACCGTCTGACCGTCTGACCATTCGGGTACGAAAAAAAAGACCTAAATTAAAGAAATTTATTTTTTAAAATTTAATAATAAATAAAAAATGAAGGGTATTTTTGGAAGTATATTATTACAAGGTTATCACATGATGTTGTCTTTTTTTTTTTTTTCCAAAGTGAAGGTTATCACGTGAAGTAAAAATGACATTTAAAGTCATTTTTGTAAATCCCCCCATTCTCCGAGCCAAAAAGAGCCGCAAAAGCCACATGGTCCGACGACAACGCTTTCATATCCAACAAGAATCATAACTTGTGGTAAACAAATAATGGTTACAAAAAAAGGAAATAAAATGTAAAAATCTTCGCATTCCACTATAATTCCATTGGACATGTAACGAATCAACAATTTTCTTTATTTTCACAATCAATATAATGATATAAAGATAGAATAATTAAATTATTCACATTCGATTTCCTTTTGCATTTTTCATCATCATCAACTAAAACAATACGGAAACTCCTGAGTCTCCGCGTCAAAGGATCAAACCAAACATATGATCAATCCAAAGATCGGAAAAAAAATAAAATAAAATACAAAACCCAACAAATCGAAACACTAATTATAATATTAGACCTTGAAACACGAGAAATGATGGCTGTGGTCGTGGCTGTGACGGCGGTGAGTTTCTTCGTCGATGATGTCCTGAACGTGTCGGAATTCATCCACGTGGCAAGGGATCGTGATCGGACCGTCGTGATTGAATCCGTATTCTTCTTCTGCCTCTTTCAACAGCCTCAAGAACAGAGGATGGTTCACATATATCACCGGAATCACAAATCTATGGAGCCCTTCGTCGTCCTCATGCCCCACCATGATCGTCATAAACCCTCTTGGATGATGGTGATGATGATGGAAGTGGAGATGTGGCACGTGGAAATGGAACTTAAATATCATCTGGTCCTGGTTGTTGTGTCTCTGGCGGGTCTGGTGTTTCTGGTGTCCGAAGCCCATTTAATTTTCAGACAAATATCACGACGGTCGGAAAGCTTTTTTCCGGTGAGATATGGTGGTTTTCCGGCGATTAGAAGACGGAGGAGATAGAGAAAGGCCAGGGATCTACGGATGAGGAGATTGTGAGGAGGAAGAGAGAAAGAGAAGAGTCGGTGAGAGATCTGGGGATGTTGCTCATGATATGCTTCGCATATGTATGATGAAAAAAAATGTTTTTTTTTTCGTGTTGAGAGATGGAGAGGACGATATGTGTATATATACAGTGGCAATGGAGGTTTTACTCTTACGGAGTGGCGCATGCAATGCACGTACCTTTATTTATATATCTTTATTTCGTGCATGTCCTTGTTTCACATATATTAAATAATTTATATAAATATTACATGTATATATATATATATATATATTGTATTTAAGGACAAGAGAAAAAAATGATGAGGATACGGAGATAAATAAAACCATTGTTGGGAGTGGTGGGTCACTCTCGGTGACACCTACAAGACCTATCCTCTGCAACATTTTGTTAACGATAATAAAGTTGTGTCGGATACTTCCTCTATTTTGTAATTACTTTTCCCTCCTTTTCATTTGGTGTACATATACATATACATATACATATACATATACATATACAAGTGCGTGTATGCATAGCCTTATATACACATATGTCATCTATATTGATTTTGAGACGATTTAGAGAAAGCTTTGTTCCACATTTACTTTTGTTGGAATCAGTTTTTTTTTTTTTTTTTTTTTATGTGAGACTCGTTCCTTGTTAAATCAGCTTATATTTTAAAATTAATTATCATATTATTTTTCTTCTCCTTGAGTGGAAAATATTCAAAAAAATTTCGAATAATATTTCTCGAAAATATTTGAAAACATTTGTCATTTGTGTATCACACAGTGGAAGGATATATGTTAAAAAAAAAAACAGAACGTCGTATTGGTTCAAATATGGCAATTTTATTTTATTTTATTTTCAAAACCATTATTGGTATAAAAATTTTCGGCCGGGAGAAATCCGGTATCAACAGCTTCAAATTAAATTAATAAACTATATAAAAATTAAAATATGTTTAAAACATTATTTTAAATGAGCAAAATTATAAATGGAAAGGAAGAATGGTTAGGCTGATGACATCCGGGGTAGGGTAATCATCATATTCCCGTCGAAGCTAAGAGATATTATCTTTATTTCAACATGTTTCTGATTATATAAATAGTTAAATTAAAATTAATACATTTGCAAATAAATAAAAGTTGGAATATATATATTTATAATTTATATACACGTGTATTTACTTTGGCAAATGGCAATGCCGATCAAGTGGCACATGGCCCTTTTGACGATGTAAGGGGTGACGACGGCTCACACGGAAATTACTTCACCATGTCTCCTCTTGTGACTTCGTATGCGTGGAGGGATGATGATTTTATTAACGGATAATTTAAATAGATTACCTAATCTAAGTCTCGGAATTGAATATTTTTTTTTTTACATTTTTAATATCCTTAAACGGTTCCAAAGTAAACGCCGATGTGTTGCACCTCGTCAAAAAATGTATTTGAATTTGATTTCTATTTGAAATATATAACTTAAAGTTAAACTACATATTTTATGTTCGGTTGGATCTATTTATTTAATTTAATTTATAAAAGCTCATATCTAATATATTTTTAAATTAGACTAATTTTAAATATAATGTATTAAGAAGTCAACTTATTGGTTAGATTGGATGAGGTAATCTTACTTAACAAAAATTAATAATTAGGAATTATTTACATTCCATTTTCATTGATTAAGAAGGGGGGAATTACCTTCCCCATTTCATACCTCAATAAGCTCATATTAATTACTATTATTCGCTAATTCACCTGCATAAAAAGAACCCTAATCACAGCCTTGTTTTCATACCGAAAGTACCCTTGAACTTTAAAATATGTGTACAATAATAAATAACAATTCGATCTTTTTATATCGTTTAAAAACTAAACTAAATAAGATCAAATGATTTTCGAAAAGGGAAAATAATAATCAGTTAAATATATGCATTCGAAATATATTTTGAAAATTTCCAAAAAGCTATAACCAATATATAATTCATACATATAATGACATTTTAAGTTCAATCTCTATCCAAATTAATTGGCCCATACGGGATTATAGATTGTTCTTACAAGCATGATCACCACATATTTTTGGCTATAAATGGTTAAAGATAATTTTTGCAAAATAAACTGTTACAGATAAATCCTATGAGAAAAATAAATTCGTCCACAATTATGAGGTGGAAGCCACTAAATCCAAAAAAAAAAACTTGGCCATGAATAATTATTCCTCACGAAGATTTGGAAACCAACGAGTGGTAAAACCTCATGCCACGCAAGCAGATGTCGGGCCCACAGAATAGGTTCTTATACACGTCATCATGACGATTGCATTGCATGGGAACACGTCGAAGATGGTGACACGGGGGAGAAGTGACAAAAAGGCCCTTTTGAGTAGGTGTGACACGTGGCTAAGATCCGACGGTGAGGATTTCATGTCTGCTAAAAAGACAGGTTTAAACTTTAAATCATATGGAAAATTCGTTTTTGTAAATTAGATTAAACCAATATTTTTCAGTATTATTTTGTATATTAGCAGGTTGTAAACAAACGCTGTTGGAGCAATTAGGGCATATAAAATGATTATAATATTGATAAAATGCGATAAATTATATATAATCCAAGAGAAATCGGTGGACTTGTCGGAATATATTATTTAATCTGTATGATCGTAGATTTCTCCGTTTGCTTTTGTAAGATTAATAAACAACAAATTCCAAAGTGTAATGGATATGAAACTGTTGTACCTACTACGGACAATCATTTCGGATTTTGATTTTAAATAAATTAGAAGTAAATTTAAATTATATAATTTTTATTACATAAATTTTTTATTTTTATAATAATTTTGATTTTTGATTTTGCGATAATTTATATTTGATTAATAACAGTTTAATATTTGAATAATATATTTTCAAATAATTATATTCGATTTACTTTTATGTCCAATTTAATATAAATATAAATTAATTCAGTTTAATTCAATATATTTTAATCAAAATAACTAATAAAAACTGGTATTTCACTTTATTCCGAAATAAAGGAATTAAGTGGCCTCCCCGACAGTAATCGTAGATTACAGTTGGAAATATGCAAATAATATTTTGCAGAAAGAAAATATTAGAATTAAAGTTAGAAAATTTTATAATTATTATGGACCACCATGTCGGCACGATGTGGAAAAAAAACGAAGCTCGAGAGTCTGAAGAGCCGTTAGATGGCCAAGAAAATTGGGACACACTACCCTTTATTCACACACATTGACACACACACACACACATATATATATATATACATATATATATACATACACACCACATATATATAAACAACTTTTTTTGTAATATGCCTCGAATATCGTCGAAAAGGCCATGTTACAGCATATATTTTGAAATTGATTAAATTCACCTAATTTAAAATTCATAATAATAAATCAAACTATGTTAGCTTCAAAAACATTTCATATATTAAATGATTTAAATATGGGATAATGGGTCCCCTCACCTATAATGTTTGATCATTCTTCTAATAAATTTTAAAATATTAAATATACTTTTCTTATTAATTTCATTGCGTACGTTTGTCAGAATATATATATATATATATATATATATATATAACCTTTCGTTACCAATCATCTTTCCCACCGTATTATTTATTTGTTTCTTTTCTTTTCTTTTCTTTTTTTTTGTTTCATTTTCACTTGTACCGTTTGACCATTTATCTCTATACATATATATAAGAATCGTCTAAAAACTTTATATTTTCATTCATTTCTATCTAATATCTGTATTTATATATATACTCCATGTAATAAGTGATAACATATTTCAATTAGTTTTAAATTTTAACCAAAAAATTCTATGGTGAAATATTTATATGCTAGATAGGCCGAAATCCAAAGTGATAAAAACATCATTTGTCATGTCACCGCCGCGTTATTGACACGCAGAGAATTAAAATATCAAACTTTATAACAAAAACAAATGAAACCTGTTAATTTTTTTTAAAAAAAAAATCAAACTAAACCGAAAACCGTAAAAAAACAAGCATAGATCTTCGAGGGGAAAATACACGTAGAACTTTAATTGCTTACATTACATATATATGTCTTGTGCATTATTATGGCATCATAACCAAGATTTTGACGGTTTTTTTTTTGTAGTCACGTCTTTTGTTTCAAGCACTTACAATTCAAACGTATTTACTTATAACATATTTAATATTCACAATAATTTATTTGTCGCTACCGATACAAATCAGATAAAACATGATACGATCATATATGACTCCAAGAAACTTATATAATTCAATTCAAATTATAATTTTTTTATAACCTAGGAATTCGCAGCCACTATCCTTCGGATTTGTGTAAAAATATGATAAACTCAATGTAAGATATCGGAAATACTCTATGAAAATCATAGATTCACTCTATCGCATGAGCTTTGAGATAACCATCCGCACACAAATTCTAATGTATTACTCTCCTTCTCTCGTATGCATACATACATACATACACATATATATATATATATACATACAAAATTTATTCAAATATATAATCTGAATCTGTAACCACCAAGATATCTGACCTTGTTCTATCACTCTCCTTCAATACAATTTAAACGTTGAGACAAAAAAAAAATTTCAACACTTCGTAACACTCCATGCGTCATCATCATGTTGGAAACTCTTTCGTGTCTTGCCGTGTGAAATCACGACCAAGTCGCATTTGACGTCCAGAGTTTACGTCTTCTGGTTCTTTTTATTTACGTAAACGCCACTCTTCAATGCCCTTTTCGTGTGTTACACGGCACTCTCTTGGCGATCTTCCGGTTGGCGGGTTGACCACCAGAGACCGTCGGTCTCTGCCGTCAAGGAGTCGGTGATCGGTCTAATTACCAAAATATCCTGCCCGGCGACCGCACAGATCAACATGCTCAAGAAAGCGACGAAAGCCGAGATCTCAGATGAAGCTCTCTCCGGTTTCCATAGAACAGATAACCCCAAAAACACAATCTCCACCGGAAGTGTCACGAGGACCGCCATTGTCAAGACATAGATTCTGATCCTCAGTGCCTTGTTTATGACCAGAGACATCAGTTTCCAACAAGACAGGACAAAGACAACTGAGTACACGGCCCCGAAGACCGCGAACACCATAGTCCCGAGCAAAGGGAACGCACACAGAACGGTCTCAACCTCGTTGGTCGGATTCTTCACGACGACGGAGCTTCGGTAGAAAATCTTCGGTAGCCAGTCTTCGAGTCGGGGAAAAACAAGGACGAAGAGCTGAAGGGCCGAGATGGGCAAACACGAGAGGAAGATGAAAGCGATGGCCGAGGAGATTCGAGGGTTGGATTTGTCGACGGAGACATTGACGAGGAAGAGAAGGGTGACGAAGAAACCAGGTTTCAGAAACCCTAGAGAGAGAAAGGCGTGAGCTTTACAGAGATTGGCTTGATGGGGCTGTGTCAGATGAATGTACGGAGGGCGAAGGAGCTCGTTGACGGACCAGAAGGCCACGAAGAGGACGAAGATGGATCGGACGGCCCAGAGAGAGTTGAAGCTGCGGAGATGGAGGGAGGAGAGAGAGCGGATGCGGAGGAAGAAGATGAAGGAGAGAGAGAAGAGAGAGAGGCAGAGGAGGAGGAGGGAGAAGGAGAGGGTGATGTAGTCGAGCGACGACAATACCTCCGGCGGGAAAAAGATCATCGGTGTGATTTTCCGGCGAAGATGATGCTATAACAAGCCTCATCGGCGACGGCGGTAAGAGGGAATCTCGACGGCGGCGATTCTCTGATAGGCATAATTCGTTTCTTGGGTTCGAGCTATGATTAATCTGCAGATCAGAGAGAGAGACAGAGAGATCTGGTTGATTATTTGTTAGAATTTTTTTTGGTTGCTGTCTCTCTCCGCTCTGTTTCCCACCGGCGGGAAACAGGCAAATGTTTCACCGACCAAAGGAAACGTTTTTGTGTTTGGAAAGAAACAGAGAGGAATGAGACTAAATTTGATCCATCCTCTGTTTCTGTCTTTTAATCTTGCGGTGGTAATGTATTTCCTCTGTTATTTTTTTTTTTCACTTCTGTTCTTGGAATTTACCTATCTTAACGACATGCCCCTTTATCCATGCATGGCGCATCATTTGCTCTGAAATCGATTTCAGGTAAATGTAAAACTGTTAAATATGATTTTAAAAAAAAACAAATCTTCTGATATATTCGACCCTTATCGACGGCTTTAACACGTGATCGACCACAAACACATTCATCCACACGTTATTTGACCCTTTTTTAAGCAATTATTCAAACCCGTCAAGCTCCCTCTTCTTTTGGCCATGGCAAAAGGTGTGTATACATATACGCAACAACAGCAACATACACACATACATATGCGCATGTGTATCTGCAACTACTATAGAGCTAAAAAGTAGAATCTTCCATGCAATGGAGGAGCTTCTTTGGGGCTACCCGACCTCCATGGACGGCATGTTTCAGCAAGCTTTTTGACTTGGCTATGGAAAACGACATCAATATCTTCGATACTGGTAGGTTTAATGGTCAAAGTGAAAAGCTTCTCGGAAAGATCATCAGACAATTTCAGGGTCTGTTCTCTTTGCCACCATCAAAACAAGCAAAATTCCTCGACTCTTGCTTATGTCCGGAAACATCAAGGTCTTCTGATTCACATGAGAATGTTTTGATGAGTTTGGCCTGAGAATGGAAACATCTCGAGAGCGAGGGGAGGCTGCCACAAAGTGACAGTTCCGATACCAGGAATAAAGGCGGTGAAACGCATAGAGACCCACTTCCGATGAACAGCTTCAGCTAGAAAATGCCATCGCGGAATCATCTCGCAGGACGGTTCATATCATTTTCCAGACATAAGTGAATGTCGAGGGTCCTTTCCTGACATTGAGACTACTTAATCTTGTTTCTTCTTTGGCCCCAGCTGTATGAAAGATAAAGCAAGATTCAAAGATCCATTTTCAAACGTCGAAATGCTTAAACCGACCGACATATCTTATGCACCTTCCTGCTCGTATGTACTTATATGGGCAGGAAGGTAATAAATGTGAAAAGGTCAGATCCTATAGAATCCAATTCCGTCCAACTCGGGGCACATGCCATGCCACTACTTCACAATTTACACTTACATTCATAACAGAGAGACAAGATAGGTAAGTTCTATAGGCAATGTAACTAAGGTTCATTTTCACATCACATCCTAGTCCCAAAAGGTCTTCCCGATGTTTCAACTGGAATTGAACAGAGTAAGACAAAGACAGCGGAAAGTATGGTTACTTACTTGCGGCAAATCATCTTGTCCTGGTTATACTCTGTAGCACCAAAGTCATCAAAGACGGCTACCACGACGGAGCCTCGGAACGAGATGGAGGGTTGATTCTGGATACAAGAACACGACATCCTTCATCACTCAAACACCATAAAACCACACAGGATCAAATCAAAGAACCGGACAAATCCCAACACATCAACGATGCTTTTATACTTCATATCACGAGTGGGACAAAACAATTACCTTTCTGAATGTTGTAATCGGACAAATTACGACCATCCTCCGGCTGCGTCTCGGCAAAGATCAGTCTTTGCTGGTCCGGAGGAATTCCTGTGATTTTCAACCAAATGGGTTTCGAATGCCCAAACCATCGAAGCCATCAGAGCAATTCGTGTTCCGATCAAACCCATTTCACGAAAACAGACGAAGAACAACGAAAGCAACAAGCTTTCGGCGAAATTGAGGATAATGCTATACTATACCTTCCTTGTCCTTGACATTGTCAACGGTGTCGGTTGACTTAAATCTAGGGTTATGGTCTTTCCGGTGAGAGTCTTCACGGAAATCTGCATCTTGGACGATCTCAACTCCGGCGTCGGAGCTGTTTCTTTCTTAGGGTTTTCTAATCAAATCTTATACGCGCAATTTTGAAGTTTAGAAATCACTAATTAGTAATTAGGCACCATGTCATTATTCTACCCCTGTTTGGTTTCAAGAATAGCTCAATTCTGGCGAAGGATATCAACACTCTCCTCCTCTACAAGCCCCCGACACGACGTCGTATTGTACAAGACTAATATTTATCAGTTTTTTTTAAATAATACTATGTTATCGATAATATAATATAAGACCCTTATTTTTCTTGTTTAAACATGAAATTCTTTTAAATCTAGAAAAACAAAGGTATGTGCGTTGATAAAGCCAAAAGAATAGCTACGGTCAAAATTATACGTTTAAAAAAGGACTAAAAAAGTAAATAAAAAAAATCATATTATATTTCGCATATTTAATATATATATATATACACACACAGTTCTGGATCATTTGACCGTGTGGGGACATAGACCACTTCCATTACTCGACATGATAAAATCTGATCAAGGCAATTTATGCAAATTACATGGACATGCCTTGAATTTCAAGCAAAAACCCAAAAAAAATTCCTTGGCCCTATAAGATAAAATGTTTGTTTATATCCACAACTTGTCTTTTATTGAATCTCTCCATATTTCATATCCCATTAGCCAAAAATAAAAATCTTTTAAACCAAGATTTATGTTTCCAAAATAATTTCTGTTTAAATTATTAGATTAATAGATAATTAAGAATGGAGATAAAAACATCCAAGTTTGGGTGGTTTAGTGGTGAAAGAACATGCAAAACATGCTCTCATCCTGGATTCAAATCCAAGTGTGGGGATGGATATTCACCTGAATTTTTCTGATCTTTTGGGAGATGTAGTCGAACCAAAGTTCCATGAATTTTCGGATTATAAAAAAAAACCTGTTATGATACCCGTGCTTTGTGTCATCAAAAGCTTTCCAACTATAATTTATATTAATATAAAACTCAATTCACTTCACGGTTGGTAGCTTGATAACCTTCTATATTCTCGTTTTACATTCTTGGAATGTAATATAATATAATAAATATTTTATTTATTAAAATAATCAGAAGGATTTACCAACAAAAAAAAACAGAAGGAATTAACAATAATCTCATAAAAATCAATTGTTCTTCTGCGATGTGAGGAGGGGGTAGCAAAAGATAAGGAGGGGGGGGGAATCTAAAACCTATTATCACCAATTTAATTAGGTCAACATCCATATGATTATATGATTTATATATACTTTGAATGTAGGTAATTCGATATTAATTCATTCATTAATGAGTCATAATTATGTACCATCCACGTTAAAAAAAAAGCAGGGGAGTCAATCTCTCAGATTTGGCTTTTAATGGTTGAATGACACGTGTCACTTTAGACTTGGACGCCTTGTAAAAATCCAAAGGTAACGACGTCGTTTCAATAATTGTTTTTCATCTACCAAACGGCGCGTGAAGTTCCTCGAGCCCGTGTCTTCACGCGCGAGACAGAGATTAAAAAAGCAAAAAAAAAAAAAAAAAAAAAAAGAAGCA